CAAACAACTGAAAAACATAATTCAATAAAAGCCAATTTAAAAAAAAAAGTAGAATGGAAATTCAGTTCATTTTATTTTGCTCATTGTAGAACCTATAAACAGACAAATAAGCAGTCCTTCAAACACAAAAAGAGACACTGCATGGTTTAAAATCAGGTAAGTATGCATCAGGGTTGTGTCCATTCATTATATCTATTCAAATTGTATGAAGAGCAAAGAAGCTGAGAAACTAGACTATGTGAAGAACATGGCATTGGGATTGGATAGGCAGATGACAAAACCTTGCTTAAAGATAGAAAATGATAAAGACTTGAAGCTCTTACTAATGAAGCTCAAAGCTTTCAAATGTGGATTACATGCCAACATGAAATAGAAATCCTCACAACAGAACTAATAGATACATCATCATAAAGGGGAAAACGTTTTAAGTTGTATCATGAAAAGTAGAGAAAAGATTGAAGTTAAGGATTTTATTTGGTTTAAATTGGATCCACTATTAAAATCCATTTACTTTTAGTCACAATTACTTGATTTGCATCGGAGAGCTGGACAATTACCAAGGATGACAGAAGAAGAATTGATGCCTTGAACTTGGGGTGCTGGAAAAGAGACTTGAACATACCATAGTTCACCAAGAAAAAAAACAGGTCTGTCTTGGAGAGGGTGAAACCAATTTTCCCTTTGGAGACTAGGATTTTAAAGCTCCCTCTCACATTGAGCATGTGGCCAGGAGAGACCAATCCTTGGGGAAGGACATCATGCTCGGAAGGGTGGAAGGAGAGCGCAGGAGAGGAAGACTCCAGATGAGATGGACTGATTCAGTGACTAGGGCAATTAAAGTAGGTGTTTCAGAGTCAGTGAGATTAGGGTCAGACAAAGCATTAGTTAGAAACACATAAAGAGAAGTGTATTAATAATGTCTACCTCCACAAGAGAAGGTTTTGGGGCCACACCACCCTTCCCTGGGAAATATGACCTATCCAGATTTTGGGGACATATTTTTCCAATAGAATTATCTTTGTTTTCACTTTTAACTTTGTTTCTCTACCGTACTTCTTAACTGCATACTCTTAACAAAGAAAAAGCTAATCCCTGGATTATTTTTTAGTATGATGAAACTTGAAAAATCTATTTTTGTTCTGTACTCCATCATGCACTATGGCCGTATAAGGAGGGTGGAATCCTGGTACTCTCTCTGCACATAAAATTTGTTTTACATTACATTAAATTGGTAGAAAAATGATATGTTTGTTTGTTTGTCTTTTTGTTTACTGTGATTTAAGACAATATAGCTAAGAGAATACACATAGTTTTAGCGTCTGGGTTGTCCAAGTCCACATAATAAAGTAACACTTTCTAATTTCTCTGACGTTCAGTATTAATATCTGGAAAATTAGTATAATGTTATATATGCCTCATATAATTCTTAACGAAAATTGAGTAAGATGATGATTACCAATATTAAGCATTTCATCCTTTATAAATTCAAATTTGCTGTAGCCTCTTACATAAGAAGAAATGTCTCTGAGAAATTGCCAAGATATTCATTAGAAAGGAAAGAGAAAGAAACTTAGAGATTCTGATATTATTTTCTTTTAGGATAAAAAATAATTTTGACCTCCAAAGATGATTTATTTTGCTTTCGGAGCCTCATTTCTTCTGTAACACTAACCAAACAGTTTATTCTATTTTGTATAACAATTTATAATGAACCTTAAAAGAACCACTGATTATCTTAGGGGTTTTGGCTCAATTACCTGTTTGAAATGCTCAGTGACTAAGAGAAGCATGTCATTTTCTCCTCTCCTGCACACTGGAGCATAACAATAGGCTGTGAATAGAGCAAATCAGTGGAGACATAAATACCAGTATAAGGGGTTCATTGTGCTTAGTTTATCACCCTGTCATATGGTTTTAATTTGGGTCGGCTGATGATTATGACAGAGATAGATAGGACATTGTTCCTCTCTTGGATTCTCTAGACACTTTAATATTCCTATTCTTATCCGTCCATTTTGATTCCAAAGCTTAAATGAAATGGAATTACTGCATTCACTTTGTTTTCCTGTGCTAAGTGATTATCTCTGAAGTGCAATTTTGTGATTAGGCAAGACGGCATGCATACACTCAGCTAATGCTGATTTCCCCCAGGGTGCAGAGCAGGTAAATTCATTATGAATGGATGTTGTGCTTTGATTTCAAATGGATGTTAAACCTCACTACACTTGGTAGGTTTTATTTTAAAAAATGCATTTAATTATCCTAAAATTAACAGGAGAATATTAAAATTGAACTTTAGAAATACGGCATTTAAACTTAAGTCAAGGGTGCTAACTGCTTATGAATGTTAATCCCGTCTTAAAAAAAAAAGATAGAAAAAAACAAAGCAAACTTACTTGACATAAATCAGGAAGGGTTTGGTCATTGAAAAATCTTTAGTATAATTATTTATATTCCTCATGATTAATGTTTTAAATGTCTGAGCGCAGCTTGTATTTGTATTGTCAAATTCTAGTGTTACTTATTTTGAAAACTACAGTAATTATTCAACTAATTACAGTCATAGTATTGTCATAGTTGTTTCATCCTAGGGGGGCTCACTTTTTTGGGGGGAAAGGAGAAAACTAAAAGTAAACGATTAGCATAGATTATTCTTTTTTTCCTTTAGAGCAATGGCTATACAAGGCACTGGTTTTAAAGAGGATTGAACAGTCTAGCCTTTGGGTGAGCAGTACAGTTTACTTTGGACTATGTCCACAGAGAGCTCTGGTGGCCTCGTGGTGAGGAATTGTACTACCAACCCAGAGGCACTCAGTTCTCAGCCACCAGTTGCTCCAAGGGAAAAGATGGGCAGTCATCTCCCATACATTCGACTGCCTTTGAAAACCTGCTGGAGCATCAGCTATTGATCAGTTCTGACTCAATGGTACATGACAACAGCATGTCTCCAGAGCTCTCTATCACTCCATTGTTGTGTTGTGTTTTTGTCGATTGCCATCAAGTCAAGCACGACTCATACTGACCCTATGAACAAAAGACCTGAAGCCTTTCTGTAATTGTCATCATTTCTCCAAGTTTATAGTTTCCAGAGAGAGGCGTGTGGTTTAGGAAGTGGACACCAATCCTGCTTCCAAATTTGAATCAATCTGGGAGCTCCACCAAACATTGCCCACGATGGGTAGCCATTATGGTATTTGGCACATCTATGGCCCAGTTGTTCCTTCCATGTCGGAGACTGTAGTACCTCTGTAAAAAAAAATGCAAACTGCTTGTAACTTAGAATTGTTTTGTAGCCACACTGGAAAGTAAAAGAAATATTTAACCCAACATATCAAAAATATCATTGCAATATATAGTTATTTAAAAATTAAGTGTATTGAATGAATAGATAAACTATAGAATATTATGCAGCATTGGCAATGAACTCATAAAACATTACATAGTTTTTGGACTAACTAATAATAATTTTTTGTTCTAGGTTAAAAAAAAAAGCAAGCATTTCTCTAAAATTTTTTCCTTTCCTTTTTACTTCCAACCCTGTAGGACAATCTAGTCAATCAGTCCAATATAGTCCTTAAAGTTTGTGTTTTCCCTCCTAGAGCTTAAAGCCTATGAGAAGCCATCTAAGACATACTGTCAGTCTCTATTCATTCAGAGCAAAACAGATAGGAGGAGATGGACTGTAGGACTAATTGTCACGATGATCCACCATCTTCTGTACTTTGAAATCAGAAAAACCATATGGTATCCAGCTACTACTGGACATTCTAGTCAGAAACACAATAGATAGATCCCAACAGAAGAGGAGAAAATGTAGAGCATAACGGCAAATTCTTAATGAATCCCGGCTTAATGGATTTACTGAAACTAGCAGAGTCCCTAACTCTGTGGCCCTGAGTTACTCTTGAAATCTTGAATTGATACCTGTGAAGTATCTTCTAAATTATTACCTCAAAAAGTAAAGATTCTTTATACAAAAACTTAATACCCTTGAGTAATACCTTCTTTTAAACAATTATCTACATAAGACCAAATGGATAATAGCTTGTCTAGAGAGGAAGAGGTTGAGGATTTAGGAATGTAATCAAGGAGGGGTTAAACAACTAGGAACAAGGAGAATGATGGTACATGAAGAATGTGACCTATGTCACTATCATTATGTTAAGAAACTATTGAATGAGAGCATGTTATGCCATTTGCCTTTTCATCAAAAATTAAAATATTTAAAAAATAAGTAGAACAGTAAAATGTGTAATCTCTTCTTGTTATGCCTTATTTTATATAATCTGTCAACATAATATTATTTCTGTAGATGTGATTTATCACTGTCCTGTACACTTTGTTTTCACAACTAGAGAGTGGCATTTCAAATCCAATGCCCTGCTTCATTGCAAAAGATGGGGCCATATACTTCCATAAAGATTCACAGGTGCTGTAGTTCATACCATGGCAGATACCAATTGCCTTCATTTTCTTCATTCACTCCTTCTTACATTGCATACTCAGGTTAAAAAGTAAATATGTGTTAAATACATTCAGTGACTAATTCTAAGAAGGAACTTTGACCTGCACCATTCAGGTTTCACCCACTGATGGAAATTGTTAATCTCTACCTCAGATAAACTGAATTGGATGCTAGATTTTAACAAGAATTATCTGAGGATCCTGTTAAAATACAAATTCTGATTCAGCATACTGCAGAAGTGCAAACTCTCAACAGGTGGTCAAACCCAGTGAACCATTTGGAAGTCCTGGGTCCGAGGCACTCTGGTGAAAAAGGGAGCCAGCCCAGAGGGTGGATGCATGTTCTTTTCATCATGGGATGGTTAGATTCTGAACAGAGTTAGAGATGCTAAGAACTGACACTACTATGAGACGGACACCTGGATTGAGAGTCAAAACACCTGTGGATAATAGTCCTAAAATAATCCTGTTTGTATACTAAGTATTTACTGATCAGAGTATCTATTTCCTTTTCAACATTACTGTTTTTTTTACAGCTTCTGCCACCTTTGAAGACTTTCAGATCCGTCCCCACGCTCTCTTTGTTCATTCATACAGAGCTCCGGCTTTCTGTGATCACTGTGGAGAAATGCTGTGGGGACTGGTACGTCAGGGCCTTAAATGCGAAGGTAAGTTCTACTCTTCCCTACCCAAGGAATGCATGAACTGTTCACTTGTATTGTATGTTTTGCATGTGTCCTCTTTTTCTTCAAAGTGCCTTGGGTGCACCAGTTCTGTTCTGTTCAGTTCATTTCTTTAAATTTTCTCTTTTCACCAGCTAAATTCGTATTAGGTAGAAGTTGTGCTGTGATTAGAAAAATGCCAATTCTCATTATTTTTTCCACATTTCTTCCCATATATTATGGTAATATTTTGGCAACTGACTGAAAATGAAATTTGTGCCTGATATGTCTCAGTAATTGTAATGGTAGGCACCTATTAAATGTTTGCTGAGCTGAGATTCAGAAGATTAAAGGCATTCATAGCCATATAGCTATTGAGTGCTAGATTTAAATTGGTACCTGCATTTTTCTTATCAATTCTGCATTTTTCTCTCCCCCCTGCATAATTCAAGTTTGTAGAACTCCGTAGGATAATATTAAAAGCTATAACTTAATAATACGCATTCTTGATTTATGGGGAGACAGTCTTTTGAATTCCCTCCAATGTGTCCAAGCAATTGGACACCATTATCAAGAAATTAACCACAGTTTTTAAATTTCTGTCTTTTGAGGAGGAATATTAATGCCTGATTAACTGGTAAAGAAAAAAACTCTGCATCCTCAAGTGAACTGTTGGGATATTTTGGCTTATTGTGTGACACATAAGGAGCCCTTATGTGGCATACACATATGGCAGCATGGTGCAGAACATAGGAGGCTTCTAACTGAAACGTCAATGGTTCAAATCGAACAGCTGCTTCATAGAAGATGGCCAATTTCCTCTATATAGTATTAAGGGCTTAGTGTTCAAAATGGCTCTCCTAGCCTTGGATTTGACTTTGCCACACGGATAGGTAAAAATATGTAAATTGGGCATGTTAGCCTATCCACAAAGGTAGTCTCATCAATCCACAAGGGGAATGGCTAGTCTTGTCATTTAATTGAATCGATCTAGCAACAGAATAGGAAGAACTGCACCACCAGAAAAGAGCAAGCAAAAGAATGCAATTCATCCTTCAGGACCAGAGACTCTTGTGCCATCCAGACTAGGGTCTATGGGAGCGTTGGCCACAGCAGCCACAGTAGAGAACCTGTGACCTGACACAAGACAGAGTGGACCTTCTAACTCTTTTCTTTGAAAAGAATCAGAATTCTAATCACCGCTCATATAAATTGGGGAAATGAAAAACAGAAGGAGTACAAGAGAAAATTTTAATTTCCACATCACTTCCAGAAAACAAAAACTACTATCTTTTAAAATCCATAATTTATAACCTATTACTGGAATAATCTTTAGCATGTGGTGTTACCACAACTGTTTTTCTTTTCTCTTTTCAGGATGTGGACTAAATTACCATAAGAGATGTGCATTTAAAATCCCAAACAACTGTAGTGGCGTGAGGAGGAGAAGACTCTCGAATGTTTCCCTCAGCACTGTCCGCACAGCATCGACCGAGCTCTCCACAAGTGCCCCTGATGAGCCCCTTCTGGTATGGCCTCCTGTTTATCAATCCCTTCATTTACATTCAAAATTTGTGGGAAAATATGATGTCAGTATCAACCCAAAACAGTGTGCTGGGGGTGGCAGGGGGAAGGGACACAGCCAGAGTGTTAATAACTGTTTCTTCAGGGCTTCTGTTGTGGATCAGTCAGTACTTCATCAGCTCTGCAACAATCTCAGAGTTTGCTTTTCTCTTCCAGCCTAGTAAAATGATGAATAAAAGATGTGGATGATCATCATGGTCATTGGGCCAGGACAGCGTACAATAATATGCTAATGTTAAAAACACGTTTTGTAACAATGGAGAAACCAGTGATAAAAATTTCTTACTTGAAGATTGTTAGTGGAATGGCAGAATACTTACTCCAGAGAAAATTTGTTCTTACTGAAATATGAAAGTGTTTTATACTCAGTTCCACTTGTATATATGCAGGTATATTAGCAAAATGACAGATAGTAGAAGAGTTATGTAAGACAAATAGCACTTAAAACTTCAATTTTCCCTTAGTTCTAAAATGTATATCTTACACAAATGATTTGCATATTCTCTAAGAAATTGAAGTTTGGATTTTCTAAATATTCAAAACAAACATTTTGGTAACAGGAAATATTTAAAATAGACTTAATTTTGAAATAAACTTAATAATTTGAAGTTAAAGCTAGACATTTTCCACTTTTATTTAATATTCCCACATATGCCTCACAGTCAATGACTTGTATTAATAAAGCTCTTGCAGATGTTAATTACAGAAAAGATATAGGTGTATCAGAGATCATGAGGATAAAGCAAGATATGGCAATGTTTTGGTTCGTTGTCTATAGAGTCACTATGAATATCAGTCAACTTATTGGTATCCAACAGCAACAACAAAATGCTTATGTTAAATAAATAACTTCTTGAAGTGGAGCAAATGTTTAAGACATCCTTAAAAAGTTGTATTATTGACTTCCTTATTTAGGAAATATTTTACTATGATTTTTATATCACCTAAGTAAGCCAGACAAAAAACTCAAATTAATGTTTATTGTGTTAAAAGAAAAATTCTATACTTGTTATTCTGATGGGATAACTTCTGTTTCAATCTCTCATTAAATGAACCTCTAGATGAAATGTGGTTGATAAAATTCACTAATAAATAGGAAAAATATCAGGATACATGTGAGTGATTCTACTGACTTTACATTTATGTGTGTGTTGGTATTGTGTTTGTATTGTTTTTATTGCTGTTATGTGTAGTCAACTCGGAGCCAACATATAATTGACCTTCCCCAGGGTTTTCAGAGGCTCTAAATCCCTTGGGAGGAGATTTCCCATCTGTTTCCTGCAAAGCAGCTGGTTTATTTAAAACCCTGCCCTTCAGCTGGCAGTGCACCTTTCTATGCACTAGGCCATCAGAGAGCATCCTTGGTTTTTATATGTATTTATAGTATATTTTATTATTCTATAAATTAGTACTAATTGAAATTAGTGATACTCTTATGGTGCTAAAATAAAAATACAGAGATTTTTATAAATAAATCTCATTTTAGTTTCTCTATTTCATCACTGAATTTGAATTTTGCAGCTACTTTTACAGTGTTGAGCAGTTGCTCTTGCCTCTTAAGTATAGTCACTGAGACTCATACATACTGTTTAAAGGACAAACATCAAGACAAATTTGTAGGAAAAAATTAAAATTAATTGTATCTTGGTTTTGTATTTTATCAAGAAATGTGCTTTTCATTTAATACCACACTAGAAATCGGAAATTTCAAACTAAAATGATATCATTGCAATAGGTACAGATTTTGATAATTCATTAAAAATTTTAACTTATCTCAATTTAACATAACATATATAGCACACACGCACATAGCTGACATATTTGTAGACCTCTGATGGCTTAGTGGTAAGGAGCTGTGCTGCCAACCCAAAGGCACATGGTTTGAATCTATAAGATGCTCCGTGGAAGAAGGATGGGCAATCTCCTCCATGCTGGAAGTTGAGCTAAGAGATGATTCCAACACAACAGTACTTAACAACAACAACAACAACAACAACAACAGGTACACATCTGACATATTTAATATATAATATCATGTGTACAGTTTAGGTGTATATGTATTAATTCCGCTTTACACAATTAAAATATCATTATGCTTACATGACTGTCAGTTTTTTAACTATAATCTTTAACACAAATTTTTTATTTGAACCAAGTAGTTTTTATTTAATCATATTATTTCTTTTAATTACTAGCGATTTTTCATGCAATATTAAAATGCACTAGAGTTTTATTCCTATATTGTTCAATGCAACTTTGCATAGTAAAATGCTTTTTAAAATTAATTTTCAGTTACATTTTGTAAAGGGAAGGTTTTAGCCATGTTTTTCAGTAAAGGTGGTAGAGTCCAGTTAAGATATCTATGATATGCAGCTATACTGAATGTAAAATGTTGTTGAAATATTAATATTAATAAGGGGTTTTTAGTTTTTTAAATTGTTATTTCAATATAATTTTACAGAGAGGCTGGATTTTCATTCATTCATTGATGCACACTTTCCTAAAGAAAAAAAATTAATATTCCCAGTCTCGTTCTATGAATCAAACATAGGCCTAATAGCAAATTAGATATAGACCAATCTCTCATGAACATAAATGCAAAATGTCCTCAACAAAACCCTGGCCAATAGAATCCAACAGTATATAAAAAAATAATCCACCATGACCAAATGGGATTTATAACAGGTAGTCAAGGCTATAGACCACTCTCTCATGAAAATAAATGCGAGTGGAACCTATAACAGGTAGTCAAGGATGGTCCAGTAAAAGAAAAAAAGTTAATGTAATTCATCACATTAGCAAAGCAAAGAACCAGAACCACATGATCTTGACAATTGTTCCAGAAAAGGCCTTTGATAAAGCTAGCATCTCTTCCTTGTTAAAGAACTCAACAAAATACGAATAGAGGAGAATTTCCTTAAATAGTGAAAAATGTATGCACAAATGCAAAAGCCAACATTGTTATCACCGGCAAAATATTAAAGTCATTCCCCTGGAGAACAGGAACTAGGCAAGCATGCCTACTATCACCACTTCTATTAAACAGTTTATTGGAAGTCTGAGCAAAAACAATAGGAAAGAGAAGAAAATAAGAGGCATCAAATTGAAGGCAAAGAGGAAGTAATAAAAGCTTTGTAAACTTGTGATTCAGTAGTTCATCTCTGTTGTCTGAAATACTCTGAGTAACTTTTAAATGGCGGGAACTCTGATGGCCTAGTGGCAAGAAGCTGCAGTGCAATCCCAAAGGCACACAGTTCTATTCCAACAGCTGCTCCGATGGAGAATGATGGGCAGTCTCCTCCAACACGATTAATGGCCTCTGCAAACTTGCCAGAGGGTCAGCTATGGGTCAGTTCTGACTCTGTAGTACACAACAACAGCCTTTAAATGAGAAGTGATGTTGAAAATAATATTTGTGACCACATTGGCTCTCAAAATCATGTTCTACATGCATTAATGCTTTCATGCTTGCCTGTGATGACTCCACATCTCTCTCCTTATCCTATTACAGAGAAGTAGGAGATAGTGGTCTGCCACAAAAGAACACCCATTTCTTGATTTCTTAAGGTACTTCCCTAGGTAATCTTTGTAACAGCAAAATCACCGTCCCCTAATCAGGTCTATTTGGAGTCCATAAATATGTCCCTTTTAATTTCTGGAAAAGAGCATATCAGTAAGTATAGTTTAATGGTACAGTGACTATCTAATAAAAAGTGATTTTATGTCCACAGTAGTAAAACCTTTTTAATACTATATTTGGTGAAAAGCACATCATTGTTCAATACTACTCGAATGAAACAAAACATAATTTGAAGGCATCCAAGAAGAATTAAGGCAATCACAACTTAAGGATTCAGTAGTGAGAAAGAAAGCACAGAGATCAATACAATGGGCAGCTCCCTACAACTGATTTTATGTATATGGCTGTTCTCTCAATATGACTTTTCCATTGCTTGAGTGACTGTTTTCAGTATGTTGGTGTTGATTGCCTTCGAGTCAGCACAACTCATTGTGACCCTATGAACAAAAGGCCAGAAGCCCTTCTACAACTATCAACATTTATCTAATCCATAGAGTTTCCAGAGGCAAGTTGTTTAGGAAGTGGATGGCACTCCTACTTTCAGAATAAAATCACTAAATTAGCACAAATTAAGAAGACATTGGTAAATTCTACTCATTGACCTACTTTTAACATCATATTGAACCACAGATTTATTTAATGCTTCTGAGAGATTTATAATAAGGTAGAACACATGGAAATTATTTTCTGTCAACTACTGTCACAGTAAAATATGTCCAGTAAACTATTTTTTTAAAGTACATTTTTAAGAAAATTCAACATATATTTTATTTGTGACATGAAAACTTTGCAATCATTTGTCTTTTTTGTAAACTGTCACTAGTATTAGGAGGCAACCAAGAATAACTGTAGCTCTATCTGTAAGTGGGACTAATATATTTTATCATTATAAATAATTATCAAATCATCTTTATTTTATAAGTTTTCAGATAGTTGTCAATAAAGAACTATTGACAGATCAATGCAAAGGGTAACCCTCTACAACAGAGAATTATTGGACCCAAAATGTCAGTAGTAGATGGTTGATAACTTCTCATGAGGAACATAGTTGGAGGACTTTTGGCTTATTAAATAGCCACAATTAATAAAATAATATGGTATTATACAGTATATCAACAGAGAACTGCCAGATGTGCAGGCTGGATTTAGAAGAGGTCACAGTGCTAGGGATATTATAGCTAATGTACGATGGATCTTGGCAGAAAGCAGAGAATACCAGAAGAATGTCTATCTGTGCTTCATTGACTATGCAAAGGCTTTTCACTGTGTGGATCACA